ACACACACACACACACACACACACACACACACACACTATGACACACTCACACACACTGTGACACACACACACACACACACACACACATAGGCACATACGCACGAAACATTCACACACACACACACACAGATACGCTCACACACATACGCATATGCACATACACACACACACACACATGTGTCACTGCAAGACATACACACATGCACATGCATGTGTGCTATGCTGCTTCTCCCTGCCTCTCTTTGAGCGCCGCACACCGCATTCCTCTTTTTCCTCTCCTGCTTCACGCTTCGGACTACACCTTCCCTCACTCCCATCATGCAAAGCATGGTCCATTTGTGTTGGCTTGGCTGATGGCAACGTTCTTCCTTCACTATGTGACTTTTCTCCGATCTCACCTGATTGCTTGATCAAGTTGATCACGTTCGAGTTGCTGCCACCGGATCGGCCATGACAAGAAGCTTCCTTTCCCAAACCATCCTCGCTATCCACGTCCATGTTGTGTTCGAGGTTCGCATCCGCGTCAACTTCCTCATCATCATCTCCCACTTCACGACCATGTGCCATATGAACTCCCTCCATACCACCACCTTCTTCCCTCTCCATTGAGTCTGGGGCTATCTGCGAGCCAGAGCCAGTGCATACCACGTGCAGAAGTTTGTCCCCCTCATCTTTGTCATCCGCTAAAGGCTCGGTAGTGTCCCGCGGGCTTGCTCCTCCGAATACCATTGCATCTCCCGCATCGTGCTCCCCCCCACTCCGTCCTCCATGTGACGACATGCCTGTGTCGGCTGCCGAAAGCGGGTCTCCCAGTCCACTGGGCACCCGCTGGGCACCCCCATCTCCGGCATCTCCCGCATCTTCGTCGGTTGTGGCCTCTATTTTCCCGTGTTCCTTTGTATTTCCTGCCCCTTCCCCACCGCATCCCGGACCTGCCGTCTTTTCCCCTGGCACCGCACCAACGCCCTAAAAAAACGGCGTTTTTAGTAGCTCATCAACTGATGCCTCATGAGTTCCCTGTTCTTTACATTCGACGTCCTTCCTCTCACGCCCTTCCTTTTCAGCAACACTCGTTTTAACGACTCCTTGTCTAGTCCCATTTAAACTCTTACACTGTCGGATATTCTCTTCCATGGCTTGAGTGTTACCCACCAATATGTCACCGTCGTACAGTTGTTCCGTCTTACGACACTCCAATGTCCATCTAATCCGTCATCGTGAAGGGCTCAGCGCAATACTCCATAAAATTGTTTTGAAGCAGCGATTCAAATACGGAGTTCACCTTTTCGCTGATATCTTGCTCTTCTGCACCCTTGTTTGCCTGCAGCACACGCAGCAACAACTGTTCCTTTGCAGTCTCAAGGAACTTACTCCTGCTCAGTCTCTTCTTGAATATCCACTTCCCTTTGACTCGGCCAGCCATGGACCATTTGTCATCAAACACACATGGCTTGAAAAGACCCGGATGCCATATGATGTAATGAGCCCATTTGTACACCTCAGTCTTTGTGAACTTGGTGTCCAAAAAGTGAGCTCCCCCTTTGCTCTCCTAAATGTGACTTTCGATTTCATCTCCAGGAGTTAGATCTTTGTCCTCGTCGTCCGGAATGTGGAACATCGGATTGTCCTCCAGACCCATGTCATCCACCCCGGGGCCTGCGTCCACTTGTGGTCAATGGGACCCCAAAATTTCGCCGAAAGGGATAGCGAAGCTTGGTAACGAAAAAATAGTGAATTAGTGGTTTTGAAACCCGAATTCGTCCTTTGTGATACTGAAATCGTATTCTTAAAACCTGAAATGTGATTAAAGGATAACAACTAAGTGTATAAAGTTTTTATTGAAGCCATAAGTTACCGATATTTGAAGTGATATCGGCTCCTGCATCAGCACTTTGGGATTTTATTTAGTTGTTTTCTCCGCATGTCGTTCGGAATTTTGTTACGCATGTTCGGGATTTCATTACCGAATTCCCACTTCGAGATTTCAAGATTTTACTTGGTCAGTTTTCAAAGTCATATCCGCACATGCGTTCGGGATTTCGTCACCGAAATCGCACTTCGGGATTTCGAGATTTTACTTAGGCGTTTTTCGTGAGTCTTATCCGCACGACATTCGGGATTTCGTGACCGAAATCGCACTTCGGGGTTTCGGGATTTTACTTAGTCATTTTTCCTGAATCTTATCTTGATGGCGTTCGGGATTTCGTCACCGAAATTGCGCTTCCGGATTTCGAGATTTTACTAGGTCGTTTTTGGAAGTCACATCCTCACGGCGTTCGGGATTTTGGGATTTCACTTAGTCGGTTTTCGAAGTCATATCCGCACATGCGTTGGGGATTTCAATACCGAAATCGCACTTTGGATTTCGGGATTTTACTTTGTCGTTTTTTCGAAGACATATCCGCACGCCATTCGGGATTTCGTCACCGAAATCACACTTCGGGGTTTCGCGATTTTACTTAGTCATTTTTCGTGAGTCTTATCCCCATGGCGTTCGGGATTTCGTCACCGAAATCGCACTTCGGGATTTCAGGATTTTACCATGTCGTTTTTGAAAGTCATATCCGCACGGCGTTCGGGATTTCGTTACCGAAATCGCACTTCGGGATGTCAGGATTTTACTTGGTCGGTTTTCGAAGTCATATCCGCACAAGCGTTCGGAATTTCGTCACCGAAATTGCACTTCGGGATTTCGGGATTTTACTTAGTCGTTTTTTCGAAGACATCCGCACGACATTCGGGATTTGGTTACCGAAATCGCACTTCGGGATTTCGGGATCTTACTTAGTCCTTTTCGAGTCTTATCCGCACGACATTCGGGATTTCGTCATCGAAATCGCACTTTGGGATTTTGGGATTTTGGGATTTTACTTAGTCGTTTTTCGTGAGTTTTATCCGTACGTTGTTCGGGATTTTGTTACCGAAATGACACTTCCGGATTTCGGGATTTCGCTTAGTCGTTTTTCGAAGTCCTATCTGTATGGCATTCGGGATTTCGTTACCGAAATCGCACTTCGGGATTTCGAGATTTTACTTGGGCGTTTTTCGTGAGTCTTAAGCGCAAAGCATTCGGGATTTCGTCACCGAAATCGCACTTTGGGGTTTCAGGATCTTACTTAGTCATTTTTCGTGAGTCTTATCCGCGAGGCGTTCGGGATTTTGTCATCAAAATCACACCTCGGGATTTCGAGATTTTACTAGGTCGTTTTTGGAAGTCATATCCGCACGGCGTTCGGGATTTCGTTACCGAAATCGCACTTCGGGATTTCGGGATTTTACTTAGTCGGTTTTCAAAGTCATATCCGCACATGTGTTTGGGATTTCGTCACCGAAATCGCACTTCGGGATTTCGGGATTTTACTTAGGCGTTTTTCGTGAGTCTTATCCGCACGGCATTCGGGATTTCGTCACCGAAATCGCACTTCGGGGTTTCGGGATTTTACTTAGTCATTTTTCTTGAATCTTATTTGCATGGCGTTCACTTCAGGATTTCGGGTTTTTACTAGGTCGTTTTTGGAAGTCGTATCCTCACGGCGTTCGGGATTTCGTTATCGAAATCGCACTTCGGGATTTCGGGATTTTACTTAGTCGGTTTTCGAAGTCATATCCGCATATGCGTTCGGGATTTCGTCACCGAAATCGCAATTTTGGATTTCGGGATTTTACTTAGTCGTTTTTTCAAAGACATATACGCACGACATTTGGGATTTCGTCACCGAAATCACACTTTGGGGTTTCTGGATTTTACTTAGTCATTTCTCGTGAGTCTTATCCGCAAGGCGTTCGGGATTTCGTCACCGAAATCGAACTTCGGGATTTCGGGATTTTACCAGGTCGTTTTTGGAAGTCATATCCGCACGGCGTTCGGGATTTCGTTACTGAAATCGCACTTCGGGATTTCGGGATTTTACTTAGTTAGTTTTCGAAGTCATGTCTGCACATGCGTTCGGGATTTCGTCACCGAAATTGCACTTCGGGATTTTGGGATTTTACTTAGTCGTTTTTTCGAAGACATCCGCACTACATTCGGGATTTGGTTACCGAAATCGCACTTCGGGATTTCGGGATCTTACTTAGTCGTTTTCCAGTCTCATCTGCACGACATTCGGAATTTCGTCACCGAAATCACACTTTGGGAGTTCGGGATCTTACTTAGTCGTTTTTCGTGAGTCTTATCCGCACGTTGTTCGAGATTTCGTTACCGAAATGACACTTCCGGATTTCGGGATTTTGCTTAGTCGTTTTTCGAAGTCTTATCCGTACGGCATTCGGTATTTCGGTACCGCAATCGCACTTCGGGATTTCGAGATTTTCCTTAGGCGTTTTTTGTGAGTCTTAATCGCAAAGAATTCGAGATTTCGTCACTGAAATCACACTTCGGGGTTTCAGGATTTTACTTGGTCATTTTTCGTGAGTCTTATCCGCATGGCGTTAGGGATTTCGTCACCGAAATCGCACCTCGGGATTTCGGGATTTTACTAGATCGTTTTTGGAAGTCGTTTCCGCACGACATTCGGAATTTCATTACCGAATTTGCACTTCGGGATTTCGGGATTTTCTTTAGTCGGTTTTTCAAAGTCATATCCGCACGTGCGGTTCAAAATTTCGTCACCGAAATTGCACTTCGGGATTTTGGGATTTTACTCTACTTTTAAATACCAGAAATTGTGCAAAACGGACTGTCTTACATATAATGATATAACCCATATTGTCATTTATCTGAATGACACTTTCTTTGCTAAAGCATTTCGTGTTGCCATTGTGAATGCAGTTTCATTTCTGTATTTCAATTTCACTCTTATTTCCTTGGAAATGCATAAATTAATTGAGTACAATATTTTCAATGGGGTTGAAATAGTATATTGTCATTGATATGTTGGAAGAATAAGACATGAATTGGAAAACCATCGGAGACACAAAAAAAAAAGATAGTCTTTCTGTTGGGATCTGTGACCGTGTTTGTTGGTGTGTTGGGATCTGTGACCGTGTTTGTTGGTGTCTGCATGTTGTCTGAGTACATGTTGGACTGTGTGTGTGTGTGACTGTGTGGGCTCGTGTGAATGTCGTGTGGCCTCTTTCACCATCCTCTCATCTCTATCCGCCCCTTTGCAAGTCGTTCTCTTCCCGCTGGGTCCGATATGTGTGTGTTCAGAATGCTTGTTGTTGCTGGGTTCCTAAGTTTGTATGTGATTAGTTCGTTGGTTTCTTCCTGTTGTCTTAGTGCATGTCAGATTGTCTGTGTGATCGCGTGGGGGTGTGAATGTCGTGTGGACTCTTTCCACCCTCCTCTCATCTGTCTCCACCTCAATGCAAGTCGTTCTCTCCCCGCCCCGTGGTCCACTTTTTGCAATAAGCAGCGAATGTAATGCAAATTCTGCTCTCATAAATTTATTATCTGATCCTTGGCTCACTTGGCCATGTTAAAAAGAAATAAGAGACGAACAAATGGATGGTAACATTTATAGGCATCATAACATAATGTTCACCCTGATATTTTTTTTTGTCATTTTGTTGTGTTTGCTCATTTGGCAGGTATATCTCCTTTCGTTTCTGTCTCGAATGCTAAGAAATGAAGAAATTATTGATATTTTTGTAAGTATGAAGGATCCTCTTTGCGGCGTTTTGTTTGACGCAAGTGGAATCAAGAGCAAAGCCATACGAAAGTGGTAGAAGACCAAGTGCCCCATGATGCAGCTGAGGGTGATCAACGATGATGGCATAAATAATGATCGTATTGTTCCTCGGGATTCTCTTCTGGCCATTTCTTGGAGGAGCTCAGCGTCCGACCATGTGGTAACTCTTATATGGCCATGTTGCAGTGTGAGGTCATCACATGTGCCTACTCACCGTGTGGCTTGATAAGACTTTTATATATCGAATGTGAAGTTACAGTGGTAACTCTGCTAAGGCTATGTTGCAGGTAGGACATCACCACGGTCGCTTTTCAGGACCTCACTTTCATACGACACTTCCCCTAACGGCCCAACGTTGGACTGCAGATCGGATCGACGATCCGACGGTCCACATCTGAGTGCTCGTACTGGACCTAGGTTGAACCGGCCAAGAAAACAGTATTTACCAAGTAGTACCAGATGACACATTGAGACTTTGTGGTGTGCCAGTTTTGCTTCAGCGCAGTGCTGCTACACCCAACACTAAGTTAGGTGTCATGCAACACTGAGGAGAAAGAGAGAGAGAGAGAGAGAGAGAGAGTCGATGACTTGTTAATGTCACAACTTCAGCGTCAGGGTAGCATTCTCTAGGAACTCCAAGACGACACCTTACACATTTGAGCCTCAGTCAGGAGGGATCGAGAGAGTCAATCTTCCTCGCTCCAACTTTCTATCTCCATTTCCTCCTCTGCCCTTTTCGATTATTCCTCTTCTTCTTCTTCTTGTTCTTCCTCTTCTTCTTCTTTTTTATTTTCTTTTGCTTTTTTTTTTTCTTCTTCTTCTTCATCTTCTTTAACTCCTCTATATTCTCTGGTAACGATCAGGGGCAGAAATTAGTGGTAGATGTCAGTGACATCAACATTGGACCAGTTACTGAACAGAGACTCTAGAGGTTATTTTTGGATTGATATTCAACGACATGTAGATTAAGTATCATCGACACTTGAGATTTTGTATCGTCGACATTGGGGCAAATGTCAGCGACATTTTGGATTTCGTTCGGTGACATTTGAGATTCTATATCATTAATATTTTTTTTATTCCGTATAAGTGGCCATCGCTGTTGACTTCATCTCCCTCCTTCACTTCGTCTCTTCTCCCCCACTTCATCTGTGTATAGTTGTATAGGTTGACGCACTTTCTATGTATGAGCACCAGACCATAACCCACTGATTGATGTGTGTGTGTGTATGTATGCAGTCTAGTCATTTGTGAGTAAGTTTATGATTTCAGTCTTTCACTACATTGTAATTATCTTTTATAATTGATCAGTTCTTGGTTTTGCACTTGTGTATATTTGCACTAGTATGCAACAGGGGCACTCAGTGCCAACAAATTGAAATAGTTGACGTGCTTTATTGTTGTTCATATGTATCTCGGACTATTGTCAACTTTTATTTTTTTTACTTTTAATGAAAGTTGTAACAATGTTCTGAATTGATTAGCAACCTGGGCTACGAGATCCTCACGAGCCCAATTGCCCTGCACGGCGATCGGGCCAGTACGCCCGAGACCTTCCCGCCAGGGTCACCCAGGCAGGTCAAAATAACAACAAAAAAAAAAGAAAAAAAAATTGATGTTAGGGGTATTTTGCACTCTCTCAGAGCTTCCCAAATTCAGCCTAATTTTAGTTCATGGTGCACGTCAATGTTATAGGGAAGGGGGGGGGCGGTTAAGGGTCTTATAGTGGCTTCAAAGGAGTTGAAGGCTCCTCCAAAAGGTGGTAATAATTTTCCTTTCTGTTTTTTATTTTTATTTCGATTTCTGTAAACAATATAAAAGTGACCCTCAGCCAAAAGTTGTCTTGATTGCTATTGTGCACATTTTTTTGTTCCGGGTTACGTGTAGGGACCCCGGCTGGCCCGGTTGCTCGGCAGATCATTCCATTCAGGTCCCGTGCCAGCCTTGGGGACCCGGGCGGCGTGGGTGGTACTTCCCAATGCACTTTTGTACGTGGGCAAAAGTGTCATATGCGCCAAAGTCTGCTAACCCACATCGCAACCAACTTTTTTTCTTTTGGTAGGTGCCGCCAGCTATTGTGGCCAGGTAGTGTTGAAGCCCGAAAGTTGTGCAGCACATACGTTTTATGCCTGCGGCCGATGTATGGGCCAAGTACTGGTGGTTTGAGAATTATGGTTGGATGATTACTTATTAACCACTTAGAAAATGTAACTGGGTCACGCCCTAGCGGGGCCGCTTAATAAATAAGTTCGTGTTTTTTTTTTTTTTTAATTCTTTCTCTCCCAGTTCAAGAATTGTGTAATTCTCAGTATGCTACCGACCACTTCGCTTGGGTAAGGGCAGATCAGACCGCAAAGTCGGGGCCTCCAACCAGACCTAGTCTAAAGTGGCCCTCCAACTCTACAAGTCCAAGAAATTAACTATTTTTTTTATACTTTCTCACTCTCCCAAGTGGAAAGGAAACTCACGCGAGGGAGGACATTTAATAGAGTTGCACCCCGACCCAGGCGCCAGTCCGTTTTTGTTTTTTTGTTTTTTTTTTCTTAGATCTATCTGTCTCGGTTGAACAACTATAATATTATCGGTATGCTACCAGTCACTTGGCTAAGGCGAATGAAAAGTAGACCACATAGGTGAGTCTTCCAAACCAATCGTAAAGAAGTCGAACATGTCGCTTTAAAGAATCTCGCACTAGTTTTGTTTTTCCACTTTTCCACTCTCCCGATGGAAAGCAAAGTCAAAAAAGACAAAACCTTCATGTAGGTCACACCTTAGCCCAACCACCACAACAATAATTTTTTTTTTTTTTTTTCTGTTGTACGTTTCGGTTGAACAATTTGAATATTTTCTATGATTTTTTTTTTTTTTCCCCTTTAACCTGTTTCAGTTTAAAAAATTATAATACTCTCTATCAACTTCTTTCTAACGTTGGATATATCACTCTATAGAATCTCGTATTAGCTCAGTAATTTTTTTTTCCGACTAAAGAATATACATATATATATACATACTTCTATGTGACGATATATATATATATATATAGGGTTACCTCACGGAACGTACGGGGGCCCCCAGGCTGGCCCCCGAATGTTTGGGCTTTCGGGGTCCCGTTCGGGGGCCGAACACCTCCAGGTTCGGCCCCCGCCAAAAACATATTTGAGGTCTAAATAAAAGTTTTTTTTCCTGATTGTTTTTTTTTTTAGTTCTCTATGATGTAACTTACACGCCTATAAATTTTAAAGTCATTCTGCTAAGCAAACATAACATTAAAAATCGTTAAAGATGGGGGTGTCGAAACGTACTCGCCCACTCACTATTTTGTTTTTTTTTCACTTTTAACTTTTGTTTTCACTTTATTTCGGGGTCTAAAATATTTTATTATTTTTTCAAAATATTTTAATGAGTTATTGATTATGTAAACTACATATCTATAAATTTTCAGGCCATTTGTCAATGCCAAAAAATAATAAAAAATCAGTAAAGATGGCGGTGTCAAAAAGGTGCTGGCGCACTCACTCATTTTATTTCTCTTTTTATTTTTTCTTATTTTTATCACAGTGTTTATTTTTTGTATTAGATTTTTAATTCAGATTTGGTAAAGAATTTGGATGTAGTGCCCTGGCAAATGTTGTTTAGTTTATTTTTCTTCATAACATTGTGTTTTTTCGGAATTTTGTAAAAAC